CATGTAGTGTACAATTATCTATTTACATAAAAATATATAATTACATAGTATATGTATAGGAAAATGTACACACTTACATATACATTTGCATGGTATGTACTTATGTAAGCACATATGTGGATGTGTATGTATATACATATATGATAGTGACTATGTCATATGTCACATAAGAAAAATATTTGGAGGAACCATATAAAAATGCAAATAATTGAGTAGGAAGGTTAAGTGATGATTTGCCTTTCTCTATTTGTTAAACTTTATTTAATGTGTAGGTTTTAATTAACTTTTATATTTAAAAGGTTGGATGTGAGGACAAAAAGAAAATTAGGCACATTTATCTAAATGTTAGATTACTACTCTTCCAGAAATTTGTTTCTCAAGAATAAAATATGCGTGTCTTACGCAACAAGCCGTATTTTCAGCCTCCTAAATCCTTTCCTCTAAATATCAACTGATGAGATTCCAGAGAAAGAATGTTCCTCCCTTGGACTACTTTTGGCTCTTTGGGAATAACTGTAACTCTTTCCTGACACAGGATATCATTTAGGGGACAAAACTCAAACAACTCATTTATGGGATCTACTCCAGTGTCAGCAATACCTGGATCCTTTCCAAAGGTTCCAACTTGCTCCCACGGTGAACCTTACTCACATATCATTTAAAGGAACACAAAGGAAGGCGAGATGCTACAAATATAAGTGCTGTTACGTTTCTCGCATTATATATTTCCTCATTTTTACTAGGAACTTCTTGCCAGATGGGAGTCATTTCAGTCCCTCAGTTCACCAGGGCACAAGCTGATCTTTGGGTTTGATAGCTCTAGAACGGTGATCAGAATCAATTAACCTGTACAACACACTGACCACATGATTATCAATACCAACTATCAACTCTGCCAAGGCTCTCCCATGAATTCTCTGAATCCAGTCAATTTGGGCAAATATTTAGAATGACAGGTATAGTAATGAAATATTGACTTTGAATTTAAATTTTTTTTTAATTTTAAGTTCCTCTGAACAGTTGGGGAAATATGAATGTGAGCTGAGTGTTAGATGAGATGAAAACGCATTTATTGTACATGGAAAGGTGAAGATCTTCCACTTTAAAAATTAAGTGCTAAAATAGAAAGTAAGGTAAAATCTTATTCAAGGAACAAAAATACATATAAGCAGAGTTGGGTGGGGATCTGAAAGGATATTACAATGAAGGGGTTGGCAGGAATCATCTCTGGATAACAAATATCATGTTTTTATATTCTTATTTTTAAAATTTTCTATAATACATATATATTGTGTTTGTAATAATAAAAGAGTATTTTCAATTAAAAAAAGCTTCCCTCGGTTTTCAAAATAGACCCCTGTATTTCCTGGTTCTGGCTAAGTATCATATTCAGAATAAAGTGCCATAACCCTTAGAAAGCCAGAAATGTGGGAAGCATCCTCTTAAGTAAGGAATATAAATTTTAAAAGAAAATCTCATGGGGGAAATTTGCTTCTGCAAGTTTCCCTGCCCAAGTTTGCCAGTTCAAAGTCTTAACATATTTTGCATAAGATTTTGATAAATAGATTTTAGAGTTGTTTACTGAAACCAAGTTCATATTCTGATCATTTTGATGTTGCCCATCATTAATGACAATCTTCCAACAAAATTCTCCAGGCTGCAACTCTACATCTTAGTATCTGTTTATAGGATTTCCTTTAAATATAACAGCTAGATGAACAAGCCTTATTTAAAATGTTTTTTTACATTTTGGTAACCTTTAAATATTCATTTGTTAGAGTTAAATTTAAAGGTAAATTATTCATTGACCACTTCAGCTGTAACGATTCCAAAGCAGCTGTTATTTACCTGGGCAACGGTCCTCAAATTAAAATAATTCTCTGAATCAGTTCTGGGCTTCATGCTGCTACTCCTTATGTTTAACAGATAGGTTGTAGCAGCTCCAAAAAAATCACTGTGGGCCAAGGAGTAAATAACCATTTTCAAAAGTATAATTATACACTGTATTTATATTAGAGTCAGAGATATGATGATCAGGTAAATAATTGAAAGTGACAGGTCTGAAACTAAACAAAAGGACTCCCATGGAAACAAAAGTCACTTTCATACCACCTTTCAAGCAATACACATATGGGTAGAGAATGTTATTTTTTTTCTCAGCCCTCAAAGAAAGAATCATGTAGAAAATAAATAATTATATAGCTCCCCTCTATCCTCCAACTTAAAGGTCTGTACCTGGAAAAAAGTAAAATAAAATTGACTCTACCAATCCTAAATACACCCTTTTCAACAGTGATAAAGGATTTCCTTGCTTTTAGTGACTCTTACTATTTCATGAGATTTGCAAACCAGAACACAGAAAGCCCTGTGTATATTTCAGAGTGACATGTGGAGTTCTGTGGAAGAGCATGATCAGCTCCCCTTTGACACTCTGCTGCATTTTAAAATTCTACCCATATTAAACATAAATGGGTCAGTAGATTCTGGTTCTCCCATGGCAGACTATTCCTCTTACTAATTACAACTAAAAACTCTGGCAAAAATATGGAAAGGAAAAAAAAAAAAACACCTGAAGACTGTGAGAGTAAACAAAAGCAGATGGATTTGGGGGGGGTGCATATGTTTTCTATTTTTTTCTTTTCCCATGCAGCTTTATCCTAAGAATAGGCCCCAGTTTCAGAGCAATGTGTGCTATCGGCAGCTAAAATTCTGATAGAAAACATGTCTTTCTAGCCAGAGGGACCAGGAAATGATTACCCTGGGGGGTGGAATGAGTGGGAGAAATCCCAGATGGAAAAGAACTAAAAGTCCCCTCATTCTGTGTGTGAACCTTTGGCTGAATCTAACATCTGAGCCAAGTGTGCAAGGTGCAGACTCAAACCAACATAGCAAAGGTTTTGAGAATTTAAATGAGATGTGAACCACCTAGGTAAGTATCAGGCTAATCCCTGAACTATACGTGTACAAGACAGACACAAAGCAGCACAGCAAAGGCTTATATAACTGAACTGAGATTTAAACCACTGCCCACAAAGGTGAGAAGAACTTAGGGCCAGAGTCTACCTGGGTAGACTGCCTGCTAAAGCAAAAACAATTCTCCTGAGGATTATGAAAGGACTCAGCACCTATGCAGTGCTACATTGACAATGTTCAGGATAGAATCAGAAATTACCTGACAACCGAAGAAACAGGAAAATGTGACCTGTTCTCAAGGGAAAAATAATGATGCCAACCTCAAGATGACCTAAATGCTGAAACTATCAAACAAAAACTTTTAAGTAGCTGCTATAACTATGCTCCACTAGGACAACACATTTGAAATTAATTAAAAGATAGAAATTCTCGGTAGAGAAATAGAAACTACAAACAATCAAACAAAAAAAAACCCAACTGGAAACTTTAGAACTGAAAAATACAATATATGAAATTAAAAAAAAATCCACCAGATGGCCTCAATAGCAGAACACAGATAACAAAGGAAAATGAAGATAGATGAATAGAAATCACCTAAACTAAAGAACAGAGAGAAAGTATTGGGAAAAAAAATGAACAAGGTTTCCAGACCTCTAGGACAGTATCTATAAGTCTAGAGTTGGAATTCTACAAAACAATTACTAAAACTAATAAATGAATTTTGCAGGGTTCAAGGTTAATATACAATGTCAACTGTATTCTTATATATCACCAGCAAATAATTAGAAAATAAAATTCTCAAAACTTCTATTTACAGTATCACCAAAAATCATAAAATACACAGAATAAATCTAACAAAAGATAACCAAGACTTCTACACTAAAAGCAACAAAACATTGCTGAAGAAAATTTTAAAAGACCTAAATAAATGGAAATATATACCATACTCATGGATTGAAAGACTCATTATTTTTAAAATGCAGTATCTCAATAGTGAACTATATACTCCATGTGATACCAATAAAAACTTCAGCAGGGTTTTGTTTTGTTGTAGAAATTGATAAGTCGATTCTAAATTTTAAATAATAGTGCAAAGGATCTAGGATAATCAAAGGAGTTAAGAAGAAAGAGAAAGCAAAGCTGGAGGATTTGCCCCCTGATTTCAATAATTACTCTAAAGCTACAGAAATCAAGACAGTTTGGTATTGATGAAAAAATAGGCATACAGATAAATAAAACAAAATAAAATCCAGAAATATATATATTTCAATTTTTTTAACAAATGTGCCAATTCAGAAGTGAAAGTCATTTCAATGAATAGTGCTAGACTAACTGAATATCTGTTTGGAAAAATTGAGTATCTATCCTTAATTCACATCATACCCCAAAATTAACACAAAATAGGTCATTGACCCACATGTAAACCTAAAACTATGATACTTCTAGAATAAAACATAGGGGAAAATCTTTGTAACCTTGCTTAGGCAACAGTTTCTTCTATGGGATACCAAAAATCACAAGCCATAAAGGAAAAAGAGAAAATGACTCTATCAAAATTAAAAACATTTGTTCTTCATAAGGCACCACTAAGAAAACGAAAAGGCAAGCCACAAACAAGAAGAAAATATTCACAATATATGTCAGAAAACTTTTTCATGAAATCGAAAATTTTTCAAAAAACTCTTACAACTCAATAGTAAGAAGCTCAACAACCTAATTCTTTAAATAAAACTCCTATGTGAACAGATACTTCACCAAAGAAAATAGATGGCCAATAAACACATGAAAAGATGTTCAACATCATTAGTCATCAGAAGACATTCAAATTAAAACCACAATGAGATACAATTACACACCATTAAATTGGCTAAAACTAAAAAGATTGATCATGCCAAATGATAGTGAGGATATAGAACAACGGAAACTCCCATGTTACTTACAGGAATGTAAAATAGTACAACCCATTTGGAATGTATTTTTGCAATTTCTAAAACAGTTAAACATACATCTACCATAAAACAAATGCATTCCACTCCTGAGTATTTACCCAAGGGAAACAAAGACATCTGTTCACACAAAGACCTGTGTATGAAAGTTCTTCATGGCTTTATTTGTAATTAGCCCCAAACTGGAAAGAACCCAAATGTCCATCAACAAGTAAATGGGATAAACAAATCGTTATATATCTATATAGAAGAATACAACTCAGCAATAAAAAGGAATGAACTATTGAGCCATGAAGCAACATGGACGAATCTGAAAATCATTATGTGGAATGAAAACTTCAGGCAAAAAATGAATACACGCTGTTTAATTCCATTTATACAGAATTCTAGAATATACAAAGTAATTTATAGTGGCAGAAATCAGAGCAGTGGTTGTCTGGGGACAGAGGTGGAGGGAGAGATGGAATACAAAGATACCAAGGAAACTTTTGAGAATGATGGAAATGTTTGCTGTATTGATTAGGGTGATTATGTGGGTACATAAGTGTGTAAAAACTGATCAAACTGTAGAGTTCACATATGTGCATTTTATCATACTTCAGTTGTACCTCAATAATATTGTACCAAAAATAAGACAGGGAAGGGAGAATCCAATGTATCGGCAAAGGCAACATATAGCTCTATGGTTTCTGTTTCTAGCCCTTCAATGGAACAGATAACCTACTTGTCACTTGTCTCACTGTAAAACACTTAGAAATGATGGACAAACTATTACCAAACATCCTCACAAGCATTTATGGACTAAAAAATGGCACTCAATTTTGGTCTGCCTTTGGAGAGCAGAGGGAGAAGTTTCTGGAACCTTAAGCAAGGCACTCAGGGACAGGGACGTAGCTTTCACAGGGTTTGGATGTGTAACTGAGACTTCCCCATATTCCTACCAGCACTGAAAGGTTGGTCCAGGAAAAAAAAAAAATCCACTTCCTGGCCCAGGATGAAAATAAACAGCTCGTCTGCCTTGGGAAATTCTCCTCTGAGAACATGTAAGCGCAGTATACCCTCATGTGGGCCTGGGATTTGAATTTATACCACCTCTGTAGTCAGGTAACCCCAAAGTAGAGAAATGAACTTCGAAGTGGTCCAGCCTGGAAATGTCCCTGAGGTACAGGGCAGAAAAAAATACAAAGTTCCTCAGTATGGCAAAATTCTTAATCAAGTCTCACAGGATTCCCCCAATAATACTCCACTGAAGTGACCTCACAGTACAAAATAACAAAATGATGAGAAAACTAGGAAGGCAAATATGTACAAATGTATAGCACTCAGATAACACTTCTGTTGCTAAATATTAGAATTATTCTAAGCAGAGCAAACAAGTAGCCCATAAAATCTGGTGCCTTTTTCCTCAGTGAGAAATACTTGGAATCCCATTAATAAGCACTGAAAATTATATTCACAAAATGAAGGAAGCCAGATACAGAATGAGACATATAGACTGAGACTTGGTTTTGAAGAAAAAATATAAAGGTTATCTATTTATGCATATAACAGAGTATGGAAATACATACACCAACGCTACCAAAGAGTAGGATTTGAGCAGGATTAAGAGAGAAGAGTGTAAACACCTGTGTGCAGATCTGATATTTTTTGTCTGACAATAAGCATTTGTGATTTGTTTAAATGAAGGAAAATATTTTAAAGAGCTCTTTTGTTTGAAACAATAGCAGATATTTTGTCATTGAAAATATTGGACAAAACCCAATTTTCCAAGTGCAGTACTACTGCTAGCTACAGGCAAGTCAAGCAACAGAGGAGGACAAGCCCAAGGTTCTTTGAAAATCCTGTTTTTCACGCTTCTCTTCCTTTGGCGTTCCGTCACCTACAATGTAATTACTCAGAAGCTGGTTTTCAGAAAGCAGCCCCTTCTGAGCATAATGCTTATTGAGAACGATTTGGACACAATTCAAGAACTGCAGGTCACAGTTGCGTTACACAATAAACTCTACAACTCGCCCCCAAAGAGATTGGATCACAGGACTAGAAAAGATGGTGAGATCATCCCCTTGTTTGTGCTTTGCTTAGATTTAATCAGGTAACCAGACAAATTCTAGTCAAAGAAGAATGACTGGTTGCATATAAAAACATATGAATACTAAAAGATGAGCATCTCTACAACATCTTGAAGAAGAATTGTCTGGGATATCTTGCTAGAGGGATATCTTGCTAGAAAGATGTCTTGCTGAAAAAAGGATGTCTTATTGGGAAAAAAAGTCTTATCTTTATAAGCCATGCTATGTTCCAAAGTTAAAGGCCTTCTTAAAGATAAGAGGTTTATAAATTACAGGAAAAGAAATCATTTCCAAGACAGAAACAAAAAACGAATACTTAAGGGATTTTTGTTGCACTGAAATTTACCATCCAAAAAATCATTTTAATTGAGTACATTTCATAATAAAAATGAATTATGAGACTGAGCCTATTCTACAGTCTTCTTTTAAAAAAATTTACCCTCCCACTGGCCAAAGTTGGGACATGCTGAGCATCAAAAAGAACAATAACTGTAAGTGATTATAAAGTACCAAATGAATAAAAATCCTTAAGTCCATCATAATATTTTAAAACAAAGAGAAAGGGAAAAAATAAGGAAAGCTCTTTTTGGTAGCATGTCAGTTTTTAAAAGTAGAAAGAAAGATATTTAGAAAACCACCATTTTGCATCCCCAAGGCAGTAACTGATTCAGGCAAAGAAACCTAAGTCATTAAGTGGAAAGTTATGAAGAATAGGATATCTAGACAGTACCAAAGAATCACCCACAAATACTAAACATTTGCAAAGAGGGAAAAAAGGAAACTTTCTAGTGGAGAAAACTCTGCTCACTAACTTGACCAAAGGATCACTCTCAAATTCAGTAACAGTAGGGCAAACTGATACTATGTTTCTTATTGTGAAGCACTAAAACTACACAAGATCACTGGTGAAATTCTTCTTGCCAAGAATGTTTAACCCAAATCCAATCAGGCCTTCACAGTTCACAGGAAATAGAGGAACTACACGTTAGAAGACAACATAAAGAAACAACCAAATCCAGAGCGTTGGCCCTTCTATAAGGCAACTGTGCTGACTTTAAAAACCCAATGTCATTTTAGAAATATATATGTGGAGAAGCTATTCTAGACTTAAAAGATTAGGGATCTATAACGAAAAGCAATGTGTAACACTGATTGAATCCTGGTTGGGGAGGAATGGGGAAATTGTTATTAAAAAATTCTTGAAACAAGTTGGAAAACTTGAATAGAGATTGAATATTTGATGATATTAAGAATTATTGTCAATTTTCCTTAGGTGTGATCATGGTGGTGTGATGCTATGGAAGAAAAGAATCTCCTTGTTCTTAGGAAATACATGCCCAAGTTTTTAGAGATGCAATCTCATGATGCCTGAAATTTACTTTAAAATAATGCAGTAGTAAAATAATTATTTTACTTTAAAATAATGTGGTGGGGAGAGGGAGGATTGCCAAAATCTGTCCTTGACGAACAAAACCAGCAATTGTTTTTAATATATAAATGAAGAGAGTTAAAGCAAGCATGGCAAAACATCAACAATTGTTGAACCTAGGTGGTAGCTAGGTAGGAGTTAATTGTACTATCCTTTCAACTTTTCCATGTTGAAAATTTTTTATACTTAGAAGCTGGGGGAGGTGGGGGGAAGTCTTCTCAGAAATAATTTCCTAAGAAGATATCAAATTTACCTTATATTGTAAAGAAGCACCTTAACTATTCTAACTGGCTTACTTTTCCTCATTTGCTTACTCACCATCCATTCAAACACCCCTAAAATCTGCCTAAATTATTGCAAATGATATTCTAATGCTAGAATAGGCCTAATATAAATCCCACAAAAATCAGTGCAAGATTTATAGGTGTAAACATCTGGTTTTATACCCAAATAACAAACTTAACAGCAGTAAAACAAATCGTTTATTACAGCATATAATGTGTTATATTAAATTTACACAAAGATATATAAAAACACATACTGTTTATATCATACAGTCATTTAACACCAATAGGAATATCAAAACAAATACTACTCATGCACAAAACATGCAGATATTGGTATAAAAAAAGCAATTTTACACAATACTGTTTACCAAAAACATTTATTTTAAAAAAGGACCACCAGACAGGGTCGGTGGTCCAAGCTGGACTGGATTGCACTAATGTGTTTGGGCTAACGCTTACGTGGTACGGTGCTCAGTGAGCAATTCTGAGCTTGGAGTCACACCTAAGGGTCATTTCATTAGGAGTGAATTTCTCTATACACAATGACCAAAATGTTATCTCAAAGGCAAGTCTCCAAGGGAAGAATGGTTGGATCTGCTGCAAATTAGGGAGGAGGAGAAAGGCATCAATGTTGGGTAACCGGCCCTAGAAGGGGTTACTGTAACCAGGGCCTAGGCACCAAGTGTGGCAAAGGTTTTAGTGAATCCTTTAAGGTTTATTACTAGCCTACCCATCCAGGTCACCTCTCTGGATTTAGGGTCTGGTCCTCAAGTTCTGAGTCCAGTAAACCAAACAATCCTGAGAAGAAAATAGAATGTACTGTATGTAAAAAATTACAGAAAACCACGACTGCCCCTTGTACCTACTTCACACAATTGTATGCGATACCCCCAACAGGAAAAAACCTCCTGGAGACGCTGCCCTAAAGAACCAAAGAAGCAAATGTATGTCCTAAAATTCCATCCACCTGACCTTCAGAGCAAAAGGTCTCAACCCATTAACACTTGAACATCAAAACCTGTGCCTTCACAAATGCTCAGAAAATTTCAAATAAAAATCATCTGATACCACAAAATCCACTCACTATCACCACCATTAGAAACTCAATATTCACTTCTAACCAGCAAAACATTCTTTACCTTCCATTAAAGGCACTAGTGTCCATACACGACGAAGATGAGACATAATTCACCTCGGTTTTCTCTTAACAAAGGAAAGCATTCCATGAAATTTTTACACGAAAAAACTAAGACGTCACCTTTTCTTCGGGAACTAGGGGCGCGGGGACCCCACCTTCCACAACCAAGAATGCTCCTCAAACGGTTGTCATCAGTTTCAAAGAGCCAGACCGAAAGCGGAGGATTTTTTTCTTGAGGTTATGTGAAGCCTTGATTTTGACGAAGGTTTTTGTGGGGTTGTTGCGGAGGCCCGGGGCTGGCACGGGCTGCAGGGGCAGAGTCTGGACAAACTGGGACCAAATCAAGCCGCCGCTCTCCTCGGAGTCGCTGCTGCTGGTGCTGTCGCCCACGAAGTCGCCCTCGCTCACGCTGGACTCGCTGTCGCCGAAGCAGTTGGTGGTGTAGTTGCTGCGCTCGTCCTCGCTGGTGTCCAGCACGGTGGAGTGGAACAGGGACTCGCACTCGGCTGAGTACTCCGAGTCGCTGGCCACGTAGGCGTAGGGGC